AAGTTCATCATGGTTCCTCTTCACATATGCACCCACATCTTCATCTGACACTTGCTTTTATGAGCTCAATACCTTTACTTTCAAAGTCATTCAGACAAGTAAACCTGGGTATCCAACAATCATAAAAACTCCTTGTTGAAAATAGAAGCAAGTTTCTCATCTACCCCCCTGTACATATTCCTCATTTTAGTGTGAGTTTATCCAACCACAAAAGCCACAAAAGTGTGAGTCGGCTTCTTCACATACCACATTACCATACCTTAACCTCAGCTTCAATCTCCAAATCTATTTTATGTCTGCCATTCCCAAAATACAATTCACACATTCAGAACTTTCTTACTGGTCACTACATTACACTTTCTTATGAAGTACAATCCAATATATTTATACTGAGCTAAATCGAGTCCCTCAATGCATCATCAATCCTCAGTCCTATCTATTCAAAATATCTTCTTCAATTCCTAGGTCAAGGTTTCAGTCTTTGAATACAGGTTCTTTCATGAAGCAAGTCTTGATTTTATCGTGATGGACTCCCTTTTTCTCTTTGAGGCTATTATAGCATATGAGATACAGCACTCCATTCATGTTTTGCAGCTCTCTCTGTACCTTTCCCTGTACACTAAGGAATTCTATTGATCTTCATAGCCCCCAAATTTAACACTAGAATAAGCTGAATGAAAGAACATGTGTGCTGTCCATTTGAAGAATTGATAGATATTGATGTTAAGAGAGAGGCAATAGGAAAACATTGGCTTTAAGGGAAGGACTAATGCACAGGCTGGTGGTTGGCACTTGGAGTCTCTCATCCGAGACTCTGTTGCTATCTGCACAATGTAGAATAAGCCATGTGCTGTCTCACAAACTAATCTGAAAAATAAAAACAAAATCTACCACTCAATTAACTTCATAATCCATCTTTTATTACAACAAAAGCTGGCCAGAAAAGAATGGAGAAATAAGAGACAGTCTCGTGTAAGGCACAAGTTCAAAGCCTGGCTCTGCCAGTTGTCAAGCATAAGGTTAAAGTGATTGCCTCGCTTCCCTTAGTACCCGTTTACTCTTCTGTAAGGTGAAGTGAAGGTGTATCCTAGCTTGCTTTTTGTTACTGTGATAAAACTCCAACAGAAAGCAACTCAGACAAAGAAAGGGCTTTTACCTTCATCTACGGATGCCAAGGTTGGAGCCCAACCAGAGAACAAGAAGCAGCCGAAGCAGAAACCTGGAGAAATGTTCCCAGATCACATTCAGCTGACTTTCTTATACAACTCAAGACCACCTGCAGACATGACCCTTGGCCAGTCTGATGGAGGCAGTTCCTCAGGGGCTCTCCCTCTTCTCGGTGCCTCTGGTGTCTCTAACTTATGTCAGGTTGACAAAACCTAACCATCATGGGGTAGAAACAAGAAATAATTTCCTTCTTAAAAATCCTTTTTGGTTTTTAGCTTGTTTGATTTTGGAGACAGTGTCTCACATATGTAGTAGCCCTGCCAGACCTAGAGCTGGCTCTGTAGGTCTGCCTGCCTCTGCTTCCTGAGTGCTGGGATTAAAGGTAAGAATCACTATGCCCCACAAGAAATAAGTTTCCGTGGCAGGATTATGCGAGGAGGAAATCAGCATACCATTTAGAATAGTGTAGCACATAGTCTAGTGCCCATACATGTAAAGCTCTTACCAACTACAAAACTGTCTATGAATGGATATAAATTCAACTTGTTAGCCTTGGATTTGAATGCTGACTAGCCATGACCTTGGGGTGCATATCCATAAAACTCGGAGTCCCAGGTACCAAAGTACACCTTGTCCTCTTTCAAGTCTCTGTCAAAAGGACCAACCATCCTTCCCCACAAGCACTACACCCAAGAACTCTTGCACTGAATAGAACTGGCAATGAGCATATGAAGTTTCAGAAGTGTCATTGGCATCTCTGGCCAACGTCCCGCAGGAGGCCCTGGAACTGTCAATACCTATTTTTCCCTCCACTGTGGAAAAAGGATGTTCAGTGGGCAGAGCAGGAAAATAGTCCTTGCTCTGAGACTATTCACGTCTCAGAAAGGTCAGTCTGTGAGCCTGCCTCTTACCATGAGACAAGAGCGACAATGAAAATATAAGTCCACACAGGCAAGTGTCCCCTCCCTTTGAGGTCAGCGCTTTGACTGCTGAGTGTCTCCTCTTATTCTTTCATCCTGATCTCTTAGGCTCCTTCTGTGAAGAACTCCAATCTCAGTCTGCATCTCTTTTTCAAAAGCCAATAGGTGACAGACACGCATGCATGAGCACCTTTGATACCCCTCTAGCTGGACCAATTCCCAGGCCGACTTAATAACAGGAAGCGTCTCACCTCCATCAAAGCGTTAACTTAACCTCTAGTAAGGCCACCCCACTGTCCTTCATCTCTTGTGCACTGACAGGTTCTATGTGTAGCCCCTTTGTCCAATGAGTCGGTGTGCTAGACGGAGAAGCCAGCACTGCCTTCAGTATGTCCTGAGACATGTTACATGGGCAGGCAAGAGATTTCCATAACCATCACTAGGAAAGGGGGGCAGGCAAGGTTGTTAATGGCTGTGATCCTGCTACCTTGTTACAGCGTCAAGGAAGGGAAGGTAGACCGGGAGATGGGACTAAATTTGGTCACTTGTCTGAATTAGTAAAGGAAGACTCTGGATGACGTTGGAGCCTCCCGTTCGTCTTAGCTGCCCTCATTATTTTTAATATGCCTGTGTTCACCTTCATTTCCCTTCAAGAATAGGGACAGTCCGTGTAAGGATTCAGTTTCCGATCCCAGTCTGCAAGTCTGTAAGGAGGAACACCTGCAGTGCCTGCTTGGCCTGGTGTGAGCACACCCTCGCCATGTTGGCCATTCCAGGAGGCCCAAGACAAGCAGCGAGAGTGAGCTAAGTAAGGGACGCATGGCGGCCCTCACTCACCTGACCACAATGGGGGAAAAGCTTTGAAAGGAGAAGCAAGCAGCCTGATTTCTTTTATTCCTGAAGGCACTGGGGAGGTGTTTTGATCTTCATGGGCCTTGTTCCTCAGCCGGCCCTCTCTCTTTGTCTTGCCTCCTTTCAGTGAGGTTTCGCACTGTTATATTTTTTTCCCCCGACCAGAAAATGTGGTGTGATTCTGTAAATGTTGTATTTTTCAGACTGTTTTCTTCCTTGTTTGGGGAGGGGGGGGAATGAATCTGCCTTTGGTCACACCATTTGCTCCTCTATGGTCACCTCGGAGAAGATTAACCCTTTCATTAAGAAAGCCTGGCCAGGGTCAAGCCACCGCCTGGCTAGGGACTCTTATATACCTTTGATCTCCCGGCTATGGAGAAATTATTAGCAAATTCTAAGCCTTCCCATGTGATTTGTTTTTGTAAATTTGTAGAAATTATTCCTAATCCTATTACGTGGCCTAGGGCAAACCTGCATTAAATATAGGAGACTTTTTGTTATGTGGCAGATGGATAATAAAGGGATGCTGAATGCAGCTCCATTCCAAGTTATGGGAATCTGGACAGTTCATCAGCATTCGCTTAATCCTCTGCCATGGCTCCGCCTTTGATGAATGCTCTCATTTATGACCACTGATGCCGCTCACTTAATTTCAGAGAAGAAAAATAATACCTAGCTGTTAATGTGAATATTTGAGTTTATGGCTGTACAATGAATAATTGTGACATTATCAAAGGAACGTCTCCTTATACATTATTCAGTTGTGTAGACCACATTAACCAGAGACTGGAAACTTCCAGCTTTGCACCTTCCATCTTCTTTGGAACGGAGACACCATGCAGACAAAAGTCAGTATCTCAAACCAAATTCTGCCTGACAGCGCGTATCAGCCCGCACTATATTTTGCTCATTGTGGTGCCAATCTCCTATCTTACCAATGACATTTTTTCAAAGAAAGAGGGGATTTCCTAGAGACTCGACCCCATGCAACTTCCATAGCTTATTACCGAATAGGAGCATGTTGCCCTGGTTCCTGCTTTAATACTGACGCCAGGGAGGATGTCTGGAGGGCTTGACTGGAAATTAAGACAGCACACCTTTGCTGTTTATACGTTATATGTAAACTGAGGGTCTTTTCTGGGGGGGGTTTCACTTGGGAGCGGGAGAGAATGTTTGGAAGTCACTCGTGAGCCGTTGGATGTTTGCTGGGTTCCGCCGGGCAGAGATCTGTGCTGGCATCATTAGAATGGTCACACAGAATCAATCACTCCGCTGCTACCGAGGAAGATGTGCCTCAGCCGCCTGAGGATCTATGTCTTTGTTTCTCGGCGAGTAGGGGATGAGGTACTAGGTAAGGGCGGTAACAAGCAGACTGGTATGTGCTCCACGTCAAAAGAAAACTCCCTAAATGGTCATCTTAATGAACATCTACAGGTTATGGGCAGGGATGCTGTTTACAAATGCAGAGGCTATTTTATAAAACACCAAGTTTTCGTCTGTTCGACAGAAAACACCTGTCTGGAAACAACTCCGTTGAATTTATTGATCTCTTTAAGCGCCTTTCCATTTCAGTTTAAATTTCATATTGTCTAGCAAATGAACTTTGGAGGTGAGGTTAGGCTTCTCTGAAGATGCTTGTCGGGGTGGGTATCTGGGTGACTCTGGCGAGTTCAGACACCGTCATTGATGGCAAAACACGTGTCTGAGCTCTGGGAGTTGTCCCAAGGGACAAGGTAACAGAATCAGCAATCTGACTGTCATCTGGCTGTCATCTGTCCAGTTTTAGGGAGGCACGCTGACTATTTTCATATTCTGCTAGTTTTCACACAATAGTGGATTAATTGGCACAAAATCTTAGCTAGGAGACTGAAGAGTGTTCCAGCCCATACGCAGAAACTTTCTCACGGAAGTGCTGCAGCTTGTATGATTGTGCAAAGTGCAGAAGTGCAGCTCACAGGGTGTACACAACTGTACTCTGACCCAGTGTGGTTTATTGATACACAACATAAGCAACACGCTGAAGTGAGCAGTTAGAAGAGGGTCTAGTTGGTCATCACTTACATATTATATGAAGGAATAAACCAAATAGCAAACCAGGCGTTGATTGCTGAGTCAGGCTTTCTCAGTTGTTCTTGTTGAGGCTGGTCCGGACAGAGCGGAGTCACAGTGGACTCTCAGAACCACTGAACATGCCACTCAACCTCATACCTTCAGCCCAGGAGATTAGCGCTGACTTCTGTAAAGAGTGACTTAGCAAATACCTTCAGCCGCAGACTCCGTCTTGCTTGTGGTGGCTCCAGGGAGCAGAAGAAATCTCCCCAAAGACAGTCAGTGCCAGAAGTCATGATCCCAGCATTTGTCTATTCTGGATTGGCTTCTAGGAAAATGGTTACAAAAGAAAAAAAAATGGGTTAAAACTTAGACGGAAAAGCTGTATTGACTCTTGCTATTTATCAGAGTCCTTACTGTAAAGGGACCATTACAAAAAAAGAAAGAGGGGCACCCCATTTTTGTTTGTTTCTTTGCTCCTTTTGTGGTGCTGGATCCAACCCAAGAACCTGATGGATGCTAAGCACATGCTCTGACGCCAACCTTCCGAAGTGGCTCAGGGCTTCTGCTTGGAAGCCAAGCTCTCGGTGACTACGTAGTCTAGACAAGGAATTTCAGCTCTTTACTCTTAGTTCACCCCTTCATAAAACAGCAAGGGGTCTACATGCTTCTGAGAGTTAACATTAAGTTACAACCAGTGTGTTTAAAATGCAACTCATCCACTCAGACCACTGTGGGCACACCGCAGCAACCAGTGTGTCTAGTGCAACTCCTCCACCCAGACCATGTGGGCACACTGCGGCAACAGCTTTTATATAAAGCTAGCCTAACTTCTCATTAAAAGGGGACTCGGGCATGGGGGACATGAGGAAGGAGGAGCCAAAGAGGAAGGAGGGAGAAGAGGATAAATGAGAAAGGAAGGAGGAGGCTAGTGGGGTGGCAGCTGAAGTTTGACAAGCCTTTCTACTGAGAGCAGACTGGCTTTCCCAATTCACTATCAACTCGTGTCTGAACACAACAATTTTTCCAAATCATCTGTCACGGGTCTTTTTTATTTACTCTCACAAATGACATCTTGGGCATGCGAGAGGGACAATAAAACTACAATGAGTACAATGTGTGTTAGTTATCATTTAAAAGCTGGTAGGGAGGAGAGAAGAAAGGAAAGCATCTTGTTACTTCCTCCCAGACCTCTGCTTTATAGAAAATTTAAAAGACTAAGAAAAGTCAAATTAGCCAACTGAAGCAAAGGTGATTTTTATATTTACATACATACATATATATGTATGTGTGTGTATCTATATATGTATATATATATATATATATATTCACACGGAAAAAGAAAATAGTATGCAAGGTGGAAATGAGGTTGCATGTGCCAACCAAAGGAACCTGTCTGCACAAAAATGCATGCCTCCATCCACATATACATAAATACATACATGCATGCTTGTATATATATGTAAATGGATTCACAGCACACTAACAGAGAGAAAAATTGTACTCTTTACTCTGCCCCACTTATAGAGTTGGAGCCCTGACATCAAGTAAAGTCAGTCTCTTGCTGATAGTCTCTCAAGGCAGAGGGACAGGGACAGGCTCCAGAACCGTAGCCTGAACTCTTCCCCCCACTGAACTAATCTGCCCAGTACCACTTAACTTGTGGGGGGACACTGAGAGCAAGGGGGTTGGGAAGCTCACCATCTATATCGTGTACAGTAAATTACACTTTGCTGAAATGTTGCCTTGCTAAAATATGCTAAGAAAGCTGTGAACAATATTTACAAATAGTTCCGATGTCACAACAAAACACCCACCGCTCGCGCATTCTCACATTTTGCTATAATAAATGTGGTAATAGAGGGTACGGTGTTCAACGTTAGGAAAGTATTCTTGACTGAGAAGTAATTGGGAGAAATTCTTTAAGTCTTTAGAAATCTCTCTCTCTCTCTCTCTCTCTCTCTCTCTCTCTCTCTCTCTCTGTTTCTGCCCCCCCACCCACCCACCCACCCTAAAGAGTCTTCTCTCTCAACTGTCAAGGCAGGAGGCCCTCTCTGCTCCCAGCATCTCCTCACACAGCAGGCTCTGGTATCCTTACTTAGGCACGTAATTCATTTCTTGAAAAAGCAGCCAACTTGGTTTTTTGCTATCCTCAACCACTAACCACTTCAAACACTTGTGGAAACTAACGAATGCTGTGTCCCGTTGGAGGATCAGGGAGAGAGTAGCACCATGAACCAAACGACCCGACCGAGCGCAGTGTTGGGTAGAGCAGATGCACTTGCTTGCCCCCTCTCGCTGGAAAAAAAACTGCTAGAAACAGAGCCTGTGACAAGAAAGGGGGTGTCCACTTTATCTGTGTGCCCACCTCAACATCCCGTTTCATTCTTAAGGAAGACGAACTTGAGAAAGAACTGTCTGGGTAAAGCGCAGCATAGCTGAGGGGGAAAAAAAAAACCACAGCAAATGTTCAGTGGATGGATGCCACAGGGAAGTTTGAACAGCAGTTCATTTTCAGGGAAGACAGCTTCTCCGGGTATGGAGTTGGGATCCGGAGAGAGTGTTTCACCAAGTGAATTAAACGTTTATCTGTTCAACTATTCTGGACTTCGTTTATAAAAAAAAAAAAAAAAAAACACACACACACAAATCACAGCACGTTGTAGGACATCTAGCACTGTGCCTTCTCGACCCTTTTCCTCTGGACAGAGAAGCAGTTACGTCTCGTGTTGCATATAGAGATGGAGTGATGATGAGCATGCAAAATGAATTGCTGGTTTGGTTTTTTTTGGTTTTTTTTGTTTTTGTTTTTTTTTTTAGGAAGAAATCCATTTTAAAAGTAAAGCCTCCGGTTTGTTGGCTTCTCTTGCAGCTGGTTTGCCACATACGAACAAAAGCCTCTGTTACTGAACATCGTGAGGCTCAGTTAAACTGACCCTGCACCTTGAAACCTGAAGATGAGGCTTGGGTTCTTAACGTGCCCTGATGCTGGCACCGCCCCCTCAGCTGCCTTTTTGGCAGAAGAAGTACAGCGAGCGGAATCAGGTGGAAAATAAATATGTTTACCTACCATCAAAGCACCTTTCACATCCAATACACATTTCCGTTCTATTAATGCCAACACAAATATGCAGACACTGTAGCAAGGGTCGCTTTAAAATATAGCTAGACAGACCGATTAAAATACACTGCTTTCTCTCTGCCAAATTCCTGCCTATGGGGAGCAATTAAACCTGCCTTCTGCACATTCAAACACTGACGGAGAAGCGAATGTTGCCTCTTTGCCACTTAGACAAATGTAATTCCGATGGAAAGATTTATCAACAACTCCCAGGCAGTTCCGGGTTTGGTTTTGTTTGTCAAATAGCACAAGCCCTCATGCGGCATCTGGACTCTGTAACAGAGTCACTCATGGGACAGGAATCCCCGGAGAGGGGTGCTCCTTTTGGCCAGTGAACAAACAAGTAAACTCACAGGGAGCAAAGGCAGCTTTGAACAAACAAACAGCTCTGCTTGAGACCGAACACACAGAACGCCAGCCAAAACCGTAATCAGACGGGCAAAGAGCAGTGCTATTGTAGCTCCCGAAGAAGTCGATGTGAAACAGAATCACAGCTGCCCATAAATGGACATTTCACAGGTGAATTTATTCTTCTGGCACCATGGGAAATGAGCAAAGGTTTGCTGCGAAATTTAAAAAGGGAAAAAATCAGCATTTAAAGGTATTTGAGGCTAATAAGAGAATTATGAACTTGGGGTGAGAGGCAATTCTGTATGATTTGGTCCTGAATGTTTTTAACTTTTCGGCCTGTTTTTTTTTGTTTTTGTTTTTGTTTTTTTCCACTCCATTGATTATTTCCTGTGCACAGGTTTGTGACGGCTAGAGAGATAAATGGTTGACGGCTGTTACTGCACTGCCCCAGTTACAAGCATCCACCCCCACTGCCTGGCTTCCCTGATCTTTTCAGTGTGACATTTCAGCTTTGGCCTGGGTCCTCATCAGCCTCTCAGGCAGATCCTAGGCAGTGGTCTTTCTGGGCCACGACTCAATGCCTAGTTAACTACAAGGTTACTCAACACTGGAGCGGGTCACGGTGAAATGTCCAGCCCCTGCCCCCCATGTCTCCCTTTGCCTCAGACAAAGCAGCCGTCTTGGATTCTGAAAAGCTATGTGGAATCTATTTTGGCTTTGCAATTAAGCAACTACGTATTTAGCATGCCTTAGGACATTTTGTCCTTGTTTTGCCTTCAAGGCAAATGTATCTCTGAGTACATATGTATTAAGAAACATCTCTGAACCTTCCATGTAATGACGCTTCTTCACACGGATCTGAAGTAGACTGCGGGAGCACAAGTATTTCTGTTTCTGATCATGCTATGCAGACTGCAAGCATCTCATAATAATCAAGGTTCGTGTCTTTAATAAAAGGAGAATCTGCTAAAACTACTGAAATTGTGACAGTATTTCTATTTTGATACCCACTTTTGAGACTTAGAAGCAGATGAATTCACACTGGGCTGAGAACTGGCAGACAGATTAATATGCCGGGGCTTTGTTCATAATGAATTTTGATGTTTCTGCTTCAAAATATAAAACATTTTCACTTGATCTTAAAAGAAATATTTTAGATTTTCGTGTGAATTCAAAAAAATGAACAAAAATAGATGAATGCCTTAATTAGCATTTATGGAAAAAAATCACACAAAACAATAGCTCCATAGGCTTTAAGTACATGTGCATGTGTGTGTAGACACACAAGCACACACATAAACATGCATGAGCAATCACACACACACACGTGATGGACCTACTTACGGATACGGCATTTCTAAATGGAGTTATATCAATGCAGACGAAGTCGTGCCTATCTTGATAAAAATCTATCGAAACCCCACTTAGAAATTTTTCTAAATATGTCTTTTCATTTCCTTTTTTTATTGGTCCAAAATATCATCGCCTAATGGGTAAGTCACCTCTATCTTTAGAGCATTACAAATATTCATTTTTAGACAATAAAGTCTTTAAAAACCCTTTCAACGAATTTCAAGCTATTGCAAATGGATGAATCGTGCGCCTAAGCCTGTGTTTGCACAGATACATTATGTATTGTGAGTGTGCCATCTTTTACATCTATTAAATGGAGACACACACTGGTATGTTTCTGTGAATCTTCCTTTCCTTTTACCATAATAAAGTCAAATACCCCTTATTTGGCGATAGGTGTGCCATTCTCTTCTGACAGGGTCCGGATGAAAGAGCAAAGTGTGGTAGTCCCAGAGCCTGGGTTCCTTCCACTGATACCATCTTCTTTATAGTAACGGAATTGC